AAACAGGTTATAATGTACGTCATTTGGTTTAAAAAAAAAATTGTCAATGTATGCTTCGCAGCTGCATAGGAGGAGGAAATTTAGGCCATTTTAGATAAAAAGTGACTACAAAAATGTTAAAAACTGGTGTGAAAACTGAATAAAACACTCTCAGTGATTGTTTACTAACCTGTGCCAGTCTATCCATTTCTTATCTGTGAAAAAATCATGCAGTGAGGTGATTGAAATGCATAAAAAGTCTGCTATCAGCTTGAGAATAAGATACACGCAGAAGTATATACATGTATGCTTAAAAATCTATGATATGGAATACCAATCTAAATTATTTGGAAAAGTACATGATGTTGTCAATAATATATGGTAAATGATGCAGGGTTTTAGACCACAAATGATGTTTTCTTTGTTGCAATGGTACAAATTTTAAAAATCATTATTTATTACAGTAACAAATTCTAATTTAAAGTTTTTATTATATGGGTTTGACAAAACAATTGCTGACAGGGGTCTCAAGCAACGGCTGATCTGTCGGACCGGTGTGCAAACTGTTGCCCCCAACCTTCAGTCTTGGGCAACACTTTGCACACTGGTCCAACAGATCAACTACTGCCCTCAACCCCAGTCAACAATTAACTGTATATTGCCGACCCCTCAAACCAAACTGTTTGCCTTTGGCCTAATAGACTCAGGCAAACAACAGTTTGATTCTTGGGTCCAATAAAACCCATGTTGTCCTTGAACCCGGTCAATGAATGTATGTTACTGAATTAGTATGCAAACCTGTAAATTTTACAGCACCATTGAATTCAAAGAAATATCATTCAATGTATTAGTATCGAAGCATAATTATAGGACAAGAATGTTTAAAAATTTCAAAATATGGCATTTGCCTTATGAGATATGATTAATAAAAATACATTATTGTATATACATGTATATTAAAAATGTATACTTGTATTCTTACGTTCTTACAATTTTTAAAAGTCTTGTACACCAAATATCATTTAAATACTCTGCCTGACAATACATGTAGTACCTGTGCCAGGTTACACTCCACTTTTCCTAGAAAGTCATCATCAGTCAGCTCACTGGTTGCATTGTCTAAATCATAAACTTCTATTTTTACTTTCTGAATTTCTTCAAAAAAGTATTCCACAGTGAAAGGCGTAGCAAATTTGGGATCATGGCAATTTTTGATATGCTCTGTTCTTCCAATCTAAATACAAGTTTTAAACATAGGTAATTAAAGATTACAAAGCTCACCTCAAATGTTTATATCTATAAGTAAGGCAAATCTCACACCATATTTTTCCTAGTTAGTGTGCATCCCGAGATTAATATCTATGCAAGTTTGGTTTAAGAAAGATTTCTAGTTCCTTGGGAATAGACCTGCTTCAAAAACTTAAACCTGATCACTCATCCAGAAAATGTAGGTCAGTTAAAGCATTCGAAGCAAGTCTGATAACGTGCATCCATAGATGCATCATCCATGCAAGTTTAATCATAACAGGCCATATAGTTATATACTAGAGGTGTAATGATACAGCAATACATCGATCGTATTGATCGCAAGGGTTCACGATACGCGTATCATATCGCCATGCATGTATCGTGATACAGTACAAGATAATTTTCATTATTTTGTTTGGAACTTCTACATACAACCTAACAAATTTTAATGTTTTAAAATGGCTGAAAAAAAGGTAGCAAAAAAAAAAAAAATACAATGTCAAGAATTATTATCTTTGGTCAGGGGTATCAAGATATTCTTTTTACATTTTCTATAACTGTGGAGGTTAGCAAAGAATAATATGTTAAGATAACGGTTAATTCAATTGTTGACAGCTGTATCATGATACATGTTGTATTGCATGACCGTATCCTGATGTGTATTGTATCACTAGGTACCTTGCAATACTCAGGCCTATTATATACCTATTCCAAAAATATTACCCAGGTCACTTATCTGGAAAATGTGGGTCAGATCCAGCATCTGAAGCAAGTCTTTTAGTGTCCATCCCTAGATACATCATCCATGCTAGTTTGGTTCTGGTAGGGCTAATATTCAATCATCAGGAAATTAAAGGTCAGAGCCAGCATCTGAAGCAGGTTAGGTAGTGTCCATCATTAGATGCATCATCTATGCAAGTTTGGTCCAGGTAGGGCCTATAGTTCCTTGGAAATGGACTTGCATCAAAGACCTTAACCTGGTCATTCATCTGAAAAATGCAAGATTCAGATTCAGCATCCAAAGCAAGTCTGGTAGTGTCCATCTTTAAATGCATCATCCATGCAGGTTTGGTCCAGGTAGGGCTTATGGTTCCTTGGAAATGGACCTGCTCCAAAAACTTTAACATGGTAACTCAACTGGAAAATGTAGGTCAGATCCAGCATCTGAAGTAAGTTTTAATGTATCCATCCTTAGGATGCATCATCCACACAAGCTTGGTCCAGGTAGGACTTATAGTTACTTCAGAATGGACCTACTCCAAAAACTTTAATCTGGTCACTCATCTGGAAATTCTAGGTCAGATACAGCATCCAAAGCAATCTGGTACTGCCCATCCCTAGATGCATCATCAATGAAAGTTTGGTCCAGGTTGGGCTTATATAGTTACTTGGGAATGAACCTGCTCTAAAAACTTTAATCTGATCACTCATCTGGAAAATGTAGGTCAGATACAGCATCCAAAACACACAGGTCTGGCAGTGTCCATCCCTAGACATCCCTAGATGCATTACTCATGCAAGTTTGGTCCAGTAGGGCTTACAGTTCCTTGGGATTGGACCTGCTCCAAAAACTTAAATATGGTCACTCATCTGGGAAATGTAGGTCAGATCCAGCATCTGAAACAAATCAGGTAGTGTCCATTGTTACATGCATCATCTATGCAAGTTTGGTCCAGGTAGGGCTTATAGTAACTTGGGAAAGGACTTGCTCCTAAAAGTTAAACTGGGATGCCACAGCTAACACCAACATCGATGCCGACGGTATAGCATAAGCTCATCTCAACTTCATCAAGGTGAGCCTAAAAGGCTGTTGGCCACAATGCTCATGGTCAATAGTATCCTTTCTTTAATTAACTCGGTATAATCTTTTCTGAAATGTGTTCATTATAAGAGAGTTTTACTGTGCATGTAGATCTATACAAGATTTAAAAACATATCTTAAGCCCCACCCTCATCTTACTGGCCAACCTTCACCACCCATTTGTTTTATGTTGAAAACTGAATATATGTCATTTATAGAGGTAAATCTGATAAATTTTATAAATGCCCAGCCTGTGTCCTTAGCATAAACATATTTCCTTACAATATGTTTTTGAAATACTCTACCTCTCGCCATGAGTTACTTTCCCTGGGCTGCATGTACAAAACAGCACAAGGATCAGATTTAGAGAACTCATCCTTTTTCTTCAGTCCAGTACATTCCACTCTCAACTCAACTTTAGAAACAGGACCACCTTGGTTCATTTCTCAATACTGCTCAGTTATCTACAATAATTATGCATATTATTTTAGTTTTAAAGGACATAGACACAGATCTGAAGTTAATATTTTCTCAAATTTTCTGAATAATATCATGATTTTTATGTTGCTATAGCATTTCCCACAGTAATATATGAAAAAAAATATTTTATCTTGAAATTATTGAAACTACAAATTTCAGGACACATTTGATCGACACATCCTTGCACTTTTACAAAGTAAACTTTATCTTTAATACTTAAGAAAAGTAGAAATTTTGTTGTATATTAATGAAAAAAATTAAAGATATAATCCAGAAAATTCAGAGTAGAAAAGTGAGAAAGCAAAACCAACTCACCAGTATTGTCAGTCTGTGCTCAGTGATGTGTGCAGAGTTCAACAAATTGAACACACCCCGTGAAAAGTAAACATTAACAATAACAGAGCTCGTGCCCTGTTTACAAAACAGTTTACGTACCACTGGGTGTGTTCAATTTGTTAAACTCTGCACACATCACTTATACCTGATTCTCATTTTATACATTATTTAGTTCTAAAGCTTTCAAATGTACATGACATACTCTCTTGGTCCTTACTAAATGGAACTTCCTTTAAAATAGTTCTATTTTAAAATAAAAATATTACCTGGCTGAATAAAAATGAACAGGTTTACAGATGCAAATTCGTAGCTGAATATTCAATGCTCATTATCAAATTACATGCTTTGCCATGTGTAAAAATTTATAATAGTAAAAAAAACTATTTGTAACATACACTTCTACGCAGATGAAAAATATCCCCGTCTGGGTATATCATAGGGACTATCTCAAAATACTGGTATCTGTCCAATCAGGAATATACTGAGAATTGCTTTATTTTGGCAATTCAAAGCAAATGATAAAAATACTATAGTAGTCTTTTCCTTCATATCATAATATGAGATGGTTTAATTCTAAAATGTACAATATTTGTTGAAAAAAATATATCCAAAAATCAGGGACCTATATACTAATTAGTATATAGGTCCCTGCAAAAATCAACCATTTGATTTTCATTAGGGGGCACATCAAAATGTCAAAATTTAAAAATTTTCCTATCAATAAATCGACCATCTGAAATATGCGATAAAGAAATTAATTGACCACCATATTCACACAAAAAATATCTGTCATAGCATTTTGTAAAGAATGCAAAACTATAAAAATATAACTTACAATGTGTGACGATGCTCTTGAGATTAACAAGGATTGAAATAAAATTGGATTTGGAGATAAAATTGTTTACATTATTTGGTATTTTTGAATCAACGATCCCGATTATATTCACCAAATATTTAATGCGTATTTTCGCATTGCTGATTAAAAAATTTACTAGTATGATCCATCAATTTAATCTCATATATTTAAAAAAATATATTATTATGACAACAGCTGACGAATATTATAACAGCAAGAAAATCTTGTATTCATATCGGGCTCGACATTTTGATAAAATTTATTACTGAAATAATGTCAAAAACATATTTTGCACAAACATGATAATCCTATGAAACAACAACCAACTACAAGTAAGTTGATTGAAAAAATTGTAAACATTGTAAATGTACCATTTCATGCTTCTTTGTTTTCTAGAACTTTAGTAAAAAGTTCATTGGTTCGTATTTAATCAATATCTGAGGGAAATATGGTGTATGGTGATGGAAGAACTTGCACTTAAGTGACTTAAGCCAGGCCCCAAGACCATAAGCTGAGAACAGACTTAAGTCAAAATTTCAAATCAATATAACTTTTGAAATAATCCTGATAACAAAACAAAATTTTTACCATATGCTTAAATTGGAATAATTTATACAAACCTGCAAACTTTTGATAACATATGCATTATAAATGACAAGCTGTTCTCAATTTATGGTCTCGAGTAGCTGCAGAACTGTAGCATTATTGTTTTATATTTAAGTCTTTGAATTCCGCCATCCGACAACAAATTCACAACAAGCAAGTTTATTGGTCAGTAGAGACAACTAGAAGGGGTTAGGAGATGGATAAAATTGACGGTGCGACTGTTAGGGTGAGCGCAGATACCTATATTCAGTTTTATTTAGCTCGGGCTCTTCAAATAGCACGTGACATTCAGTATGTCTAGACTCTGATGTCACATGACGTCGCTTGTAAGTTGCATTACCAAAACAAAGTCTGAACAGCGCTAATTTTAACAAGCATTCTGAGAGTATTGCATTAGCAATACTAGTCCCCTACCGGCAAGTGTAATCTGGTTCTGTTCCCGTTAAGAATTGAAAATGCCATAATTGCGTCAAAAATTAATGAAGCGAGACGAAATGCAAACTTGATCTGTAACTAATCAAGGTAAAGCCACATACCAAAAATCAGCTCAATATCTACAAGCGTTTAGAAGAAAATTGCAGAAAACCCGTAAAAATTGAAAAGGCCCTAATTCCGTCAGAAATCAATGAAGCGGAACGAAATGCAAACTTGATCTGTAACTCATCAAGATACACTCACATACCAAAAATCAGCTCAATATCTGCAAGCGTTTAGGAAAAAAGTGCAGAAAACCAAGTGGGACAGACTGACAGACAGACAGAGGGACAGACAGACAGACAGACAGACGGACGGACAGACGGACGGACAGACTCAGAGGAAACCTATAGTCCCCTCCGGTTTCACCGGTAGGGGACTAATAAAGAAGGTTTAATCTACTATTTATCTGCTATACATCCATCAAATCAAGGTGAATTAATTTTTTTCTTGGAACTTCTTGTTACCGCAAGAACGATGTTTGCGGCGAGATACAATACTCAAAGCATTATGGAACCACAGGTAAATGCGGAAAATTTGTTTGGATCAATGTGCAAAGTCTGAATTTTCTCTTAGCCCAGGCGTTGCTTTAAGAGCTTGCAGTGATGAGCAACGCTTCGCGCTTCTCACTGCGCTCGCTATAACAGGTTGATTACAGAATATGTCCAGAATTAGGGAATGAAAGGTCATTGATTGACCAAAGCTAAAAGGTGGCGAAATACATTCGAAAGTGTGCAGAAAATTTTGAGCTGTAAATTGCACAATATTTTGCATTACGGGATCTGTAGTGTTATGGTCTAAGACTAATATATAAAACCATAACACTACAGTTCTGCAGCTAGGTATCGAGGCCAGGAAAGTCTTATTCCATGTTTTGTTACAGCTAGACTAACGTAATTGAAAAATAAAATGACCTGTCTGGGCTGTTTTTTGATACTTTCTGGAAGTATATAATGGGAATGTTTTGGTCTGAAAATTGGAGTATTTGCATAAATAAAATTGCAGACTTCATAAAAAATCAAAAGTTTCTTTTTCTAGCAATCAAACCTTTATTTTGCTTTATTCCTAGACTCCTTGTGCAAAAGTCAAAAGACAAAACACATCCCCACCTAGGATGGGGCCAAGATGGTCATGCTTTGAAAACACATCTTCAGATATTTTTTTCTCTTTACTCATCATGTTCATGGGTGTTTGCTTGATTGTAAGTAGCACTTAAAAAAAAATTATTTCCCCTTGTTCAGGGTTCATGTTCCAAGGTGGGTCTTAGCTAGTTGATCATATCTTTTATATACATTTACCGGTAATCTCTAAATCTGAATTTTTTATTCCCTACAGTACTTTTGCTATAAGTAGTGTATAGTAATTTAGATCTGTCTGTCATTCTGTGTGTAACAATTGTTTCCAGATGATATCTAAAAAGTCTTTATTAATAAACTTTTGCAATGAAACTTCATATATAAATCCCTATGACTTAATGAAAATCCCTATTGATTTTGGGGTCAAAAGGTCAAAGGTCATCCATTCATATACACATGTATTGCAAAGTGATAACTTTAGTTCTCTGCAATGAAATTTTGTATCATAACCCCTTTTGACTTAAAAAAAAGAAGACCTTTATTGATTTTGAGGTCAAAATTCAAAGGTCAAGATAGGTTAAAAGGTCATCAATATATTGAATTAAATGGTTTCCATTGATTATAACTTAAGCACTCTGAGAGCTTTTGCAGTGAAACTTAAGGAAGGTGAAAACTCTCTCAAACTTTTGAAAATCCCTTTGAATATGAGGCAAAAAGGTAAAGGTGAAGGTCAAACTTTCTTTTCTTCTCCTGATGGGTTTTTTGGGGGGGAAGGGGGGGTTCACCCATTTATTTTGTCCTTAAGAGAGGGACATAAATTCTTTGAGTTAACTTGTCTCCCTCAGAGACAGCTAGCTGGCAAACTGTTTGAATGATTATGGTAAATACCAGGTAGCTAGCTGTTTGCCAAGATATCTTTAAAGATCTTTTCTACACCTAGTAACATTCAAAAATAAAAATGTGAACAAAGAGTCCTCACCAAATTTATATCACATGATTCCAGAGTTCCAGTACCAAAAGGCAGAAAAACTGATGACACTGGTGTGACTGTCAAGTCCCATGGGCCTCTTGATTTGTGGCACATAACTTATGTTAGTATACAGCTTCTTTTAAATGCAGATTAATTTTTACCAATATATATCTTTTAATGCACTGAGGTAATCATGAATTAAAAATTTAGAAATATGAACTACTAGGTAGAGTAAGTTTTATTCTTTCTATTTACAGACAAAACCATGCCACTTTCACCAAGGAAAATGTTGAGGCAACTAGTGCAACAACAAAACAATGCTGAACTTATCAATAATTTGAAAGATAGTACTTTACCTTTGATGGAAATGTCTTTAAAGGCTGGAAATCATTTTGAAAAAATTGTGAAAGGACTTGATGATTTACGACAAAAATCTTTACTCTGCGATTATACTTTGAAAGCAGACGATGAAAGCTTTGCAGTTCACAAGGTAGTCATGGTGGCATGCAGTGATTATTTCCAAGCAATGCTGACCAGTAATATGAAAGAATGCCATGAGAATACAGTAGAGTTGAAAGGAATTTCAGCAAATGGTTTGAAGATCATTGTAGACTTTGCATACACAGGGGAGCTTAAATTAAACACACAAAACGTTGAAGATGTTCTCTCCGCTGCAACACATTTACAAGTTAGTGATGCTATGGATTTATGCAGCACATATCTCGAAGCCTCGATCTCTGTGCGTAACTGTGTTGACATTCTAAACATTGCAGAACTGTATTCCTTAGAGCCTTTATGTCAAGCTTCCAGGCGATTCATGCTCCACAACTTTGAGGAACTGGCAGAATCAGAACAGTATTCAATGTTGAATAATGTGCAGTTATCACAACTTCTGGCAGAAAACAGTCTCCGTGTGTCCTCAGAGTTTATGCTGTTCAATCTTGTTCTGAAGTGGATTCGATATGACCCAGCAGAGAGAGAACAATTTGTGTCTGAACTGATTGAAAATATCAAGTTTCCCTTGATGACAGGTGAGGAACTTGTGGAGAGAGTCAGTAAGGTTCCTATAATGAAGCAGCATCCTGAATGCAGCAGTCTGCTTACTGAAGCCAAAGATTATCATATTGTTGTCAGTAAGCAACCATTACTTCAAAACAAGAGAACAAAGGTTCGTTCAGATGCACCAGTTCTAGTCATGTGCCATGCTTCCAATTTAGAGACCTTCAATTTTGGAAATACCAAACGAGGCTACCTAAAAGAGGCTATTGTTCCATTGTACAATCCATCAGTAGCTGTAGTGGATAACTTTTTGTATACATGTGGAGGAAAATATGAAGGTGCAGGAAGTAGCACAGACATTGCAACAGCTCGTTGCTTTAGATACGATCCAAGGTTTGACACATGGTTTGAGTTAGCTCCCATGAATGAGCCTCGGAAAGATTTTGTGATGCTAGCTTTGGACTCCAAGCTTTATGCCATTGCTGGACAGGATGAAAACAAGGTAATGCACACAGTGGAATGCTATGACATCATGAGCAATGAATGGGAAATGAAGCAGCCGTTGAGTCGTCATGTTTATGGCCATGCGGGGTGTGTGTGCAGTGGCAAAATCTATGTATCTGGTGGACAAGTGTTTGTGGGAACATGGAAAAAACTCTTTGCCTATACCCCAGAAGAGGATACATGGGAAGAGAGAGCCCCCATGCTGCAGAATAGACTGAATCATATCATGATGGAAGTGAAGGAAAAGATTTACGTTATTGGAGGTAACATTGAGGATGCCTATGGGTTTCCTATCCCTATTACAGAAATTGAAAGGTACTGTCCAAGAGCCAATCAGTGGACTGTCTGCAAAGCTAAGTTTAACATCCGTGAAGCAGGATCTTGTGTTTTGAACAATACAATTTTGATTGTTGGGGGAATAGGGGGAGAGCATTACCTCTCTGAGTATGTTCAGAGATATGACCCTGAGAAAGACAAAGTTGAGATTGTTGAACACTTTGCCACAAGAATCAATGGAAAAGCTTGTGCTATTTTAACTCTTCCTCACTTTATTTGATGAAGCCATAGTTAGTGTTTATTGTACATGTACAACAGTCAGGGAAAAGGTGGCACTATTACTTATTTATAGTTTTATAGTTTTTAAAGACAAAGGTACATTAATATTAGCACAACATGGGTATTTTTGGGGACAGAAATGATTTTGTTGAATTACATGTAGTTTTTGAATGATGTTTCTGTCTTTATAACTGCCCTTGATCATGTCAGTTTAGCACTTGTTCATCATTATTCACAGATGTTGTTATTTAATATGTGTATATACACTACCGGTTTAATTGTAATGAATTAAATTATGAATGAATATCATCAAAATTATTTATTGTTTAATTGAGGTGTACATTATTTGTTTATTCTTTTCTCTTAATTATAAAAATTTACAAGTAGTGTATCAGTATTCAGCAAAGTTTAAAACATGAGAGATATTTCACAATTTTAGCATGTTTAGACTAGTAAGCTAGTGTATATACAATTTTTTTTGTTTGAACATATCAGATACATGTAGTACTAAACATGTTTTGTGCGAAAAGACTTTGAAAAATGAATTCAACAGTGTTTTCAAACACTGAGATGATTCTAAATAACTATTTTTGAATGAGTCTGTAGAATTCTGATGGTTTCATATTTATTGACTTTGTTAGTTTTTATTACAAATTGTCATGTTTAAGTCTGAATGTTTTCTGTCTTTTGACAAGCAAAGCGGTAATTTTACTTCTATTGTTTTTACAGAAATGTAATAAAGATCAACTACACTTGAAATGTTTAAAATGTGTACATGTTGATTACCAGTATTGCTGAGGACTAGTCTCTATGATTAGGTTTACCATTTGTATGGTATAAGTAGTTTATGTATAAATTGTGATCAACATATGAAAGCAGTCTAATTATTAAAAATTATTTAGATGTTACAAATCCCCTACCTCTTCTTAAGAAGTGGATTAGGAATGTCTAATTTTAATTATGGTAAATTGATATGAAGGTTTCCATAACATGCATACAGATATTTATTATGTGAATAAATCATGTGTTGAGTGCATTTTCTTATATTTGTAAATGCAGATTCCATATGGAAATGAGAGAATAAGAGAGATATCAAGTATTTTTCTATACATGCATGACACTGTTATGCTAGAGTCTAATTTTAAATCCAGTCTTTGGTATTAGCTGCACCTCTCATGCATATTATCAACCAAATCTTAAATCAAAGACAGGTAAATTCTCAAAAATATGCAAAGCAGTAAGGGCATAAAATTAATTATTTTATTGTATCAAGGTTTAATTCATTTTGACGTTCAAATTTGGTCCCCCCCCCCTCCCCTGGAATTTGTAGAGTTGTTAAATATATATATACTGAAGCCAATGTCCTGGGTTTGATACATTTGGGAAAGGAGTTTAAGTTTTTGTTTTGTTTTTTGCTTGTAAAGAAATTTTTGGGTTGGATTTTTTTTGACTGGGGTGCTCCCCCCCCCCCCCCACCCCCTTATGATTTGGACAAACTTTAAAGTTATGCTATACAACTTGATATTGCTATTTCAAAAGTGTGGGGGGGTTTTGGGGGGTGGGGTGATTTATGGTTTTCTTGATGTAATCTTAAAAAATCCCACTCTGTAAAATATTGTTTTCAAACTATTTCTCTTGCATCATGGTGTGACTCTTCATTCCCAACATGAATGGACTTTATCTATAACTAAGGGGTGTGTTCCCCGAACCTCTACTGGACAAAACAAACATCTAATTATCACACTCAATTAAGGGGCCCTCTAATGGGGTACAGGTAGAGTTTACCTTTATGAACTAACTATACCTGCATTTATTGGAGGAGGAATTCAAGAGCAACATTTTATTTTTTTTATCTTGAAGGCATCTCTTTTGAAACATGGTTTCAACATGCAAAAATTATTTTTTTACATTTTTTTTTTTCGGAAGAAATGTAAAAATCTTGAAGATTTTATCCACTGGTTTAAAAAAAAAATAAAAATAATGTGTTTTATTTTCACAAATAATTTTTTATCAAAAATAAAAATTAAAAGATTATCTGACTTTTCTTGACGTTTTATTACATGTAGATATTTATATTGTGCATTTATTTACGGTAAACTTTGAACACCAAAGGGTCTTATTTGCAATTAAAACAATCTTTTCAGAAGAGATCTTAAAATAATTAATTTAGGTAAAAATTTATTTAGATATTAAAAATTTTTATAGATAAAATTTTTTTTTTTATTTTAACCCATCCCCGTTGAATTTGGATCTTAAGCAATATTTTTAAAAGTAAGTTGTCAAAAATTTTTCTGCCCCTTCCCCTTTTACAAAGCGATAAGTTACAATGTACGTGTCTGAACTTTGATGTAAATAAAACGGTGCTAACGTATAGATATTGCTTTCAAACAAACAGGTCGCTATGGTTTAAACAGTGGGGGAAGGGGCAACCTCCCAAAGAAATCTAACAAGTAAAATTAAAAGAATAAAAAAAACCCCTGAAAATCCTATTTTGTTTGTGTATGGGGAGGGATGGACTTTCTCCGACTGTTTTAGATTTTTAGATTTTTTTTTCAAGTGCTGGAATTCGCCAGCGCTCGACCTTACAGCAACAAAAAGTAGTGGGGGCAGCATCTAAATGAAAATTTACAGAAAGTTCAAATTGAGTTATCATCATTAATAACTTTTTCATTGACCAAATTAGAAGTTTTTTATGTTATTAAAGCTCTTTTGTTTTAAATCAATATATACAGATTTGGAAGCACACAACACTACTTTCTCTTTGTGCAGTTTGCCAACATGATGCTTATATTGGGACTGACCTTGGAAAACTATTTGAAATTACACTTTTAAAACAAAATAAAGTTTCAAAATAGTATTTTATTGCAATGGGCTGAGAAACAAAGCCATTTATTTGACATACTCCTCTTTAATACTTTGTGTGTTAAAGCAGGAAAGGAGAAATTTTATGGCTGGACTAGGAATCGAACCCAGGATCCCTGCATTAATAGTCAGGCACTCTAACCACTGAGCTATCCAGACTGATATCCATGGTCCATTTGGCCAAAACCACTCCATTCCTTCCATTTGAAATTGTCTTTACTCTTGGAAGACACACAACCCAGAATCTTTAGCCCCAGACAGGGCTTTCAACTGCAAGTCCCCCCCCCCCCCCCCCCCCGGAATTTGTAGAGTTGTTAATATATATATATATATATATATATATATATATATATATATATATATATATATATATATATATATATATATATACTGAAGTGAAATCATCTGTCTAGCTGCCTGTCTGTCTGTAAACTAGCATATTTGACCAAAGTTGGCACAAAACATTTATGGGTAATGGAGATTCTAAATTATTCAAATGAGGGACCAAGCCCCTTTCCAAGTGGAAATAATCAAGAAAACAAAATTAGGGAGGAGTCATTAAAAATTTTTCTTCTCGAGAACCACTTGGCAAGAAAAGGTGGAAATTACCTGTAATACATATGAAAGCTTAGTGAGGTAGTGTAGATTTGAAATTGTTCAAATCATGGTCCTCCAAACTAGGACGAGGACCCTATACGGGATCTTTACTTTGACCATGGAATATAGGCCTGTAGAACACCCACTTATTTTCTGAGTATAGTTTTTGCTATAGTACACTTTTCTTTATGTTTGTTTGTTTGTATGTTGTTTAACGTCCCTCTCGAGAATTTTTCACTCATAGGGAGACGCCACCACTTGCCGGTGGAGAGCTGCAAATTTTGTCCTATACTCAGCACTTATGGCCATTGAGCAGTAAAGGATCTTTTTCGTGCCAACACCTACTGCAACACGGGACCTCGGTTTATACGGTCTCATCCGAAGGACCGGTCTCCACGTCCCACAGTGGGATTCGAACCCGCGACGCAAGGATCAACTCCTTACGCCGCGACTCTAGAGCAGATGCTCTAACCACTGCGCCATGCGGGCGACCACTTTTCTTTAGATGCTGGGGTCATGATTTGAACAAATTTGAATCTAAATTTTGTTATGAAGGTATCATGTAAGTTTCAACTTTTCTGGCCCAATGGTTCTTGAGAAGAAGATTTTTTCACCAATTCTTAATTATCTCCCCTTGAAAGAGGGTGTGGCCCTTCATTTGAACAAACTTGAATTCCCTTCACACAAAGATGCTTTGTGGCAAGTTTGGTCGAAATTGGCTTAGTGGTTCTTGAGAAGAAGTTGAAAATGTGAAAAGTTTACAGACAGACACCAGACAAAATCTGATCAGAAAAGCTCACTTAAGCTTTCAGCTCAGGTGAGCTAATAAGGAATAACTGTCTGGGCTATTTTAATTATATGTATGATGTACTTTGTAATCATAGGCATGTAGTATTGGGGGACATTGCACCCCCTTTTCCAAACCTTATCTTTTACTGTTAATTTAGTATAATATTGATCACTGAAAGGCCAGCCTTCCTCCCAGTTTCTATTACAATATAATCAAAATCTCCCATGTTGATATAATAAAAAAATCCTTGTAATAAGTTAAACCCTTCCCCCACCCTACCCCTAAGAGGTCAGGGAGAGATGAAAGATTTCAGAGTAAAGGAGGGATTGTGATAAATCCTTAAAGACATCTTAGACTGCCTTTAGACTCAGTGAGAACTCAACAAGTTTAATTGCATGACAACGAAATAGTTTATTTTAATATGAATCATAAATTTTAACTCAAAACACAGCATCATGTACAACAATTGGAAAACATTTTTTTTCACAATTATTGCATTACTTGTCATGCTTATGAGGAAAAACTAGAGAAAAAAATGAATCTCTCTCTAGAAAACCAATCTCTACTACTTGTGTACTTAGTTGCACATGGTGCATATTGCATAACATTAAAATGTACAAAGCAAAGTATATATATAGCATCAATAAATTCTTTTGTAATGAAAAAAAAAATGTGGAGAGAGCATCCCAAACAATTGAAAATTACTGTTACATAAAAAGATTAAAATAATTTGTACATTAAGGCCTGTTGTGTAAATAAAAGAGAAAAAAAGAGAGAATATAGTAAGATCATTGGAATGTTTATGTTGAAACATATCAAAAGGTGATAATGCAACTAAGAGATCACTTTTTTTTTCAAGAATCGGTGCAGAAATTTTTTTTTTAAAAAGATGTATTGGCTAGCATATCAAAAAGTGATTTAAAATTTAAGAGGGCTGCAATGAAACTTGAGTTGATGACGCTATCTTAAAAACAATCGCAGGCCTGTTGATCTTGAGGTCAATGGTTAAAGGTCAAGATAAAAAAATTCAGGTCTTTGATGTAAAACATATTTTGTTTACACTGCTTTATAAAAATTTCAAACTTATGTGCAGTCTTACAATGTACACACCCTCTCCTACATTAATGTAAATCTACAATAAGGCTCATCATTTTTATATGTGTTTCTAAATACAATTAAAAATGCAGATAATACATGTACATGTATCTTGGATTCAATTAACCCTATGCACAGCTTCAAAATTTACAGCTTTAATGAGGAATACAGTATACAACTTATGAATAAAATTGCCAATTAATATTTTACCAATAGTGGATAAAATGAAAAAAAAAATGAAAGGGTAATTATGTTGACTTAAATATATCCACAACATTGTCATTATCAATATCAAATTCTTATATACAGTCAGAAATAATTCAGATATGTGAAGTTGCTAACATTTTGTTTATCTGATGTTATTAAGTATACTAATTAAATATTGCTTATACATGTACTATGAAGTTAATGAAAAAGTTAATTGGTGTTTTTACACAAAGAAATAAGCAGAGGGAGGGAGGGAGGTTTTTACTACATGTATATATTTCTCAAACATGAAATTAAAACTTATATATGCTTGACACAATGAATTGCTAAATATTGAAATATATTGTATGAAAGTGAAAAAAAAGTTAGAGAAAGGAGAGTTTTGAGATGTAAAATTTATATGTCACTACCCTTGAAAAATTAAAAGAGAAGAAAATATCCCAGAATATCTTACTAACTTGTAAAAAAAAAAACTTGTTTTTA